TTTTCATTAATAAGTATTTATAGAAGAAATTGAAATCAAATTCTAGTAAATCCATGGATTGGATGTGTGTTTCAAATGTGGAAATCATTTCATCGGTTATACGGATATTATCCGCGAAAATGTCGTTGAATTCATTGACAATATCCTCGACCGAAGGGATGGTTTTATTTGTATAGTACTCTTTATTTAAATATTCATTAATTTTATGAATTTGTATACCTTGGTCAGTCGGTACGTTGACCCTAAATGATATTATGTTACAAATAATATTTAATTTATAAAATAATACTTACATTTTCATAAATGGCTTAAAGATATAACGAATTTTTTCCCGGTAATATTTATAATAATTACAATTATAATAATAGTTTTTTAAATTTGGAGCAATGACTGTGTATACCCTGATACATCTGTCATACTTCATATTAGTGTCAATTAGAATATACTCATTGTTTATATCCCATTCGTCTAATATTTCCCACATTTGCTGATAACATTGCAAACATTGCAAGAGTTCTTGTATTAATTCACACGATATGTAGAAATCAATGCAAATCATGTCAACGGAGGCCTGAGTTTCGAATATTTCAGTTTTTCTTTCAATTAAATCATATATTGATTGTGAATTATATTCACTTTCAATGAATGCTTTATTATCTTTAATCCAAAAGTTGTAATATTCGGCAGAAATATGCGAATTCGTGTCAAATATCTTGTTTATACCAACAAATAGTTTATTCATTTCTTTAATAGTAGCTATATATAAACGTATATAATATGTATAATTAAATGACACTCACAATTATTACAGGCAGATATTTTTATAATTTATATACCGGTACTAACCTGGTATTGCACCTATCATGGACTTATTTAGTTTACCTGTATTTAAATAATAAATAATAAGCAAAATTATTTTTTAAAAATTTTATTTGAATACAAACCAAAACTTGTTTCCTGATTATTATTTCGTATGAAACAAAATGGTTTACTCTTCAGAAATAGTTTCCAAATTGTTTTGTCATTAATATTAGTTGTAATTAATTTCAACTCATTTTTCCCAATAATGGGTTTATTTGTCATAAATGTCTGCAATTGTGATAAAATGTACGAACTTTCGGGTCTTTGCCTCCAATCTATTGAACCGTTTTCACGGTACATATTGTTGGCACTCATTGACACCAATAATTCATTCATTTTAATATTAAATTCATCTAGATTATTATCATATTTGGGATTATACCAATTCTATAAAAGTTTAAATTATTTATAACTTATTTTATTAAAAATTAATTTATTAAGAACAATTCTCTAATACAAACATACTTTCCCTCAATTATATCGTATGTATCGAAACCAAATAATTGAGCCCCGATTAGGGATAGACTGTAGATATCTGTCAAATGATTGTAATCTTTCGTCTGGGCTTCCGGTGCCATATAGTCAACAGTTCCCACATCTGCCGTATGTTTGGCTTTAGACATACGAAACGGATCACAATTTGGGACCTCTTTAGCCAAACCGAAGTCACATAACTTTATTCTATAGTCCATTGAAATCAAC